GATGAGGGAGGCAGGAATTGGGAAGAGGAACAGGGAAGAGCCAAAAGAGGGAAAAGCAGCAGATTTCAGGGACAGGGGGATGGGAGAGAAAAGCAGGAGAAGGGAAAGGCCAAGAAGCACAAGAAGGTGAAAGTGGAAGGGGTGGAAAAGGTGGGAAAAAAGAGAATAAAGAAGGAAAAAGTGTCGGAAGAGGAAAAGGAGCAAGAGGTGGAAAAGATGGAGGAGGAAGGAGCGGGAAGTGAAAGGGAGGGAAAAGACGAGGTGGGAAAGGGAAGTGGAGATGGAAAAGGAGTCAAGGAGGAGGAAGAGCTCAGGGAGGAAAAGTTGGGAGAGACCTGGAGAATGGGGATGGAGCAGGAAGAGGAAGGGAAGGGAGATGAGCCAAGGAAAAAGAAGAAAAGCAAGAAGAAAAAGCCCGAGGGGGAAGAGAAGGAGGAGAAGAAGAGCCAAGAGGAGGAGACTCCAGGGAAAAGCAGGAAAAGGAAAACTCAGGAAGGAGGAGGAGAAAAGAGCAACAAGAAGGCGCAGAAAGAGGAGGAGAAAGAGGCGGAAAACAAGTGGAAGTGGTAAATATTCCGTGGGATTTGGGGGACCCGGGGAGGTCTGAGCAGGATGGTTTGGGGGGGTTTGGGTTTGATTTCTCTGGGGGAAAGTGGGGAAAATTGAATTAGTTAATTGAATAGTTAATTGAATAAGTTAAAAGAGTAAAAATCAAATGTTGAATGTTAATCTTTAGGGTAAAACTGAAAATTGAATTTTATTTCTGAGGGCAAAAGTGTGAAAATTGAATTTTGAATTTGTTTTCTTTGGGTAAAATTGTGACAACTGAGTTTTATTTCTTAAGGTAAAGGGGTAAAAAATGAAATTTTTAGTTTTATGTTTTAGGGTGAAACTGAAAATTGAACTTTGAGTTTTGTTTCTAAAGGCAAGAGTGTGAAAATTGAATTTTGAGGTTTTTATTTCTTTGTCTAAAACTGGAAATTGAATTTTAGTTTTATTTCTTTGGATAAACATGTGAAAATTCAATCTTAGTTTTTATTTCTTAAGGCAAAACCGTGAAAATTGAATTTTGAGTTTTATTTTTTAGGGTAAAACTGAAAATTGAGTTTTATTTCTTTGGGGAAAAGAGTGAAAATTCAATTTTAGTTGAATTTTAGTACATTCCCCATCTAAAATTCCTGTTGCTTGTTAATTTTTCCCTTAATATTTTTGTTTTCCCTGTATTTTTGTGTGAAAATCCGCCTTTTACCCCACTGGATTTATCCCTCCACATTTCCCATCCGAAATTGCTGTAGCCTGTTGATTTTTCCTCAATATATTTATTTTCCCCCTGTGTTTTTCTGGCAAAATCCACCTTTTCCTACAACCCTCTTTTTTTATCCCTGACCTGGTTTTTTTCCCCCTTTTCATATTTTTTTGATTTTTTTTTCCAGGTTGTTTTGACACTTTTTTTTTTTTAATATTAAATTTGAAATTTGATTGATTAATCAATTGATTAATTTATTTTGAATCTTGGAATCTTGCAGATCCCATTTGCTCTAGCGGAGGGTTGGGGGGGAGATGATTGAAAACATTATTTGCATTAAAATCCAAAGTTCAAAATGATCCTGAGGAACAGGCCCAGCTTTTCCCAGAGGAATGGAATTCCCATCCCTGGAATTGCTCAGGGTGGATTTGGACAGGGTTTGGAGCGACCCGGGATAGTGGGAAGTGTCTCTTCCCATGGAATGAGATGATCATTAAAGTCCTTTCACTCTCCTGAATCCTTCCATGTCACCATCCCCTTCCTCCAGACAACTTTCCCGGGATTCCCATCACCATCCCCTTCCTCAAACACTTTTCCCTGGATTCCCATCACCAGCCTCTTCCTCCAGATACCTTTCTCTCTCTTCCTTATCACCAGCCCCTTCCTCGAACGCCTTTCCCTGGATTCCCATCACCATCCTCTTCCTCCAGACTCCTTTCCCTGGATTCCCCATCACCACCAGCCGCTTTCCCTGGATTCCCCATCATCACCAGCAGCTTTCCCTGGATTCCCCATCATCACCAGCAGCTTTCCCTGGATTCCCCATCACCACCAGCAGCTTTCCCTGGATTCCCCGTCATCCCCAGCTTTCCCTGGATTCCCCATCATCACCACCCCCTTTCCCTGGATTCCCCATCATCACCAGCCGCTTTCCCTGGATTCCCCATCATCACCAGCCGCTTTCCCTGGATTCCCCATCATCACCACCCCCTTTCCCTGGATTCCCCATCACCACCCCCTTCCTCCAAACCCCTTTCCCTGAATTCCATTGCAGTTTCCCTGGTCTCAAACGAGGAAAACCGAGGCAAGGCCAGGGAAAACAGGATTTCACCTGCGATTTGTGCCGACTTGGAGCATCCTGTGGGATCTGCAACTTCCCCCCGAGGTCCCTGTGGGGTGTGGGATGTTCTCACGGGTCCCTCTCGGTGTCTCCTGCAGGTGGGAAGAGGAGAAGAAGGACGATGGGGTGAAGTGGACGCAGCTGGAGCACAAGGGGCCCTACTTTGCCCCACTTTATGAGCCCCTTCCCGAGGACGTGAGGTTTTATTACGATGGTAAGGAATGGGAGAGGAATATCCCGTGGGATAAAGCCTCCAACTGCTGGTAGAAGCTGGAGGTGGAAGGAGTTATGGGGTTCTTGAGGAGTTGACCCCAGGGGTCATTTTTTATTTTTTTCCCACCCCTGAGGGTCATTTTTCCTCATGAAGGTCCATTTTGGGGTTGAGTTTTCAGGAGGAGTTGAAGCTCATCCGGGTTTTTTCCCCACAAGCTGGAAAACCAGGAGTTTACACGTCACTTGCCCCACTCCCCCCCAAGTTGTTTAAGGATTTAGTTGAGCTGCTCGTGGCTCCTGATGTCACCAAGGATCACTTGCAGCAACTCAGGGTCACCGAGGGGCTGATCCAGGACAGATCCAGAGCTCTGCTGTCCTTGTTTTCCTCCCATTCCCGCTGGATTGTCTTCTCCCTGCTCTCAGCTTCAGCCCTGGACTCGTTTTTGATGGATCCAGGCAAGGAGGCAACAAGGACCTTGGGGCTTGGCCAAGATGGGAGGGGACCACATTCCCTGGGGGTCTTGGTGCTCCTCAGCTCCATCCCTGGGGCTTCCCATGTTTTTTTTTTGTAGTAGGAAAAAGGCCAATTTTGGGAGATGAGGTGTCTGGAGACACCAGAGGGCACTGCTGGGACATCCATGGGGCTGTCAGAGACCTTTTTTTTTTGGATCTGTGAGGAGGATCCCCGGCAGGGTTTGAACCTTCTCGGTGACCTCTGAGGTGGTAGGAGATCCACCCGTGTGCTGGGTGGGTGGAGGATGGTGACTTTGGCCTGGGATCTTCGAATCTTGGCTCGTTTCCTTAAAAATCATCACCATTCCTGGATGGAAAAATATTTGGGGACAGGCAACGAGCCCAAGTAGGAAGGGACCATGGGGTACACGTGGGCTGTCACAGGGGTGCTCTAAGGTGACCCACCATGGCCTGCAGTCCAGGAACCCCAAAACCCGGGGGGGCCAGGTAGGATTCCACCATCCCCTGGAGCTCTGCAGGTTGCTCTTCCTCCAGCTTGCCTAGGAAAGCTGTTTCCAAATAATTCTTAGGATAAACCATGGTGTTCCTTGGTTTCCCCGTGGCTCTCTGGCCAAAGAGCTCAGGAGAGGGTGGTGGTGGCTTGGGCACCTCCAAGAAGTGATCCCAGACCTGGAGAACCCCAGAGAAATGATCCCTGATTCTTTCCAGAGAAGCTGTGGCTGCCCCTGGATCCCTGGAAGTGTCCAAGGTTGGGTTGGACAGGGCTTGGAGCAACCTGGGATAGTGGAAGGTGTCCCTACCCAGGGCAGGGCTTTTGGAACTGCAAATCCCTTTCAACCCAAACCATTCCATGATTCTTGGATCTGTTGGGCGAGCAGGAGAGGCTCTTGCCTCTGTCTTGCCCAGCTTGGAGCGTCCCATGGTTGCTCCATCTGCATGGATGGGGTGAAACCTCTCTCCAATCAGGGTCCTGGCTCCTGGAATGGATGGGATTCAGGAACATCCCACTGTGCCAAGAGCTCTGGATGCTGATCC